TGGGGTGGTGGGATGGGTGGGTTGGAGATTGGGCCGGTCCACTATGCCACTGGATGAAGCCCTCACCCTACTTTAGAGCAACATAAAGGACATTTTAACCAATAATTCTTTTCATGCGGATAGCCTTACTGTGAAATTTTCACACCTGATTGTGCTTTCATGGCTGTACACAAATATTTTAAAAAAGAAAGTCAAATTACAAATTAAACTATTTAAAAATGCTTATTTTATCTCTTGCTCTTTCTCTCAACTCCAAAAAAGTTCATGTGATGCAGCATTCAGTGTCAAATCCTCCACAGTGTGAGCATTTGTACAGCTTGTTTTGACATTAAATGAAACGAAGAGTTGGTGTGTAGCTGTGATAAACGAGGACGCTTGTTCAATCTCCATGTGTGCAATAATCTGAGAGAGCAGATGTGCACAGCGAATTCTGATCCCAGCACATCCTTGCCTTCCTTTTGAGGATTACACTGAATAATAGCAACTCTTCAGTGCGGATAAACAAATGCTCAGTGCAATTTTCAAACATGCAAAAAAGTTAGAGTTGATAATTAACAGATAGAAACCTCACACCAAGCAATCCTGATAACACACCGTTGTTGTACAAATAACTTATTTTTACCTTGTTGCTAAGAAAATAGTTGTGACTTTTATTTAATTTAACTTAATGCAAAAATAACTGAAATTAAACTAAAGTAAAATAAAACTAAATATATTTAATACATACAGACTAATATAAATGATAATACAAAACCACATTAATTCATTCATTCATTTTTCTTGTCGTCTTAGTCCCTTATCAATCTGGGGTCGCCACAGCGGAATGAACCGCCAACTTATCCAGCACGTTTTTACGCAGCGGATGGCCTTCCAGCCGGAACCCATCTTTGGCAAACATCCATACACACTCATTCATACACTACGGACAATTTAGCCTACCCAATTCACGCATGTCTTTGGACTGTGGGGGAGCACCCGGAGGAAACCCACGCGGAGGAAACCCATGCTGTGAGGCGACAGCTTTACCTACTATGCCAATGCATTGCCAACCACATTAATACAACTTCAAAATCTATCAGTAATAAAATAAATTTAAAGCTTTAAAATCTATTTTTTGAAGTTGTGGATAAAAATAAAGCAAACTAAAAATAAAATTAAACAAAAGCCATAAAATTAAACTACTTTTGAAGTTTAAATTTAAATTTAAAACAAGCAAGCAAAAATTAAAACAAACTTCTTAAAAACTATAAAACTACTTATATAAAACTGATTAAAATGACTTATTTTTTACATTAAAGCTACTTCTAAAACTACTTTTCATTTTTAGTTATTAGTAAGTTAGTGAGATAAAAGAGGTATAATTTAAAATATTAAAGGTCCAATAAAATAAAAGTAATGTTTTTTAGATTTTAGTATCAGTATGTTAGTATTAAGGGGCAAGGCAGTGGCGCAGTAGGTAGTGCTGTTGCCTCACAGCAAGAAGGTCGCTGGTTCGAACCTCGGCTCAGTTGGCGTTTCTGTGTGAAGTTTGCATGTTCTCCCTGCGTTCGCGGGGGCTCCGGTTTCCCCCACAGTCCAAAGACATGCGGTACAGGTGAATTGGGTAGGCTAAATTGTCCATAGTGTATGAGTGTGTGTGTAAATGTGTGTGTGGATGTTTCCCAGAGATGGGTTGCGGCTGGAAGGGCATCCGCTGCGTAAAAACTTGCTGGATAAGTTGGCGGTTCATTCCGCTGGGCGACCCCGGATTAATAAAGGGACTAAGCTGACAAGAAAATGAATGAATGAATGAATGAATGAATGTTAGTATTAACCATAGGGCTTAGTGTTTTTGTTAATTTTTATCCTTTGGTATTTGTAATGTATTACCTATTTTGCTTCGTTTGGTTGTTTTGATACTTTGATATTTTTGTAGAACATAGTGAATATTAATTTTCATAGTCGTGTTTTGTTATTTATTTTGTTCAGAGAGGGAAGCAGTGGCCTGGAGGACTCACCTGTTTTTATTCTTTTTCATGGGAGCTAGGTAAGATCTCTGCTGGAAGAACAGCTATTGTCAGGGAACTGTTTTGTTTAGCTGCCCTTCTGTTATTTGTTATTCATTTTTGTTTCTTCCTGTAATGTTATTTAAATGAGATTAATAATATATTGACAGGGATGTCAGTTTATCATATTCAAAAATCTGTGTCTTTCATATGTTCGGCTCAAATTCAGATTCATAATTAGAGCCAGTTTTGGATTTTGGGTCGTAACATGCACAAATACACTTCACTACACATGTACACACAGACATCACCTATATATTATATAGGTATTATATGCTGCAGAACTACTATATTTATATATAACAACTTTAACTATTAAAAGCTATTAGCTACTAGTTCATCAGGTAAAGTGATTAATAACTAATAAAGTTATGCAAACGCTCTGAAATTCCTGCTCCCTGTCAAGAACACCTGTTGGACTCTACAGGCTTGCACACACACACACACACACACACACACACACACACAAACACACACACACACACACACACACACACACACACACATACATACATACATACATAGCTATAGATAACAGACAATCACTCCCTATCCCCTCTCCAACGCCTTCGTGTGCTTTCACCCACTGGAGGTGGTAGGCGGGTCTGCGACTAGCGCCTCCATGGCTGCAGGATCAGATGGCTGCCCTCCCTCATCGGACTATATCCACACCCCCTGTTCCCATCCCTTTTGGCAATGTTGTGTCTTGTCTGTGTGTTTTTGTGCTTAATTGCAGGGGGTCTTATTTGTCTCCCTGGTCCCACGTTGCTCCAATTCACGGGCAAGGTGTGAGGGAGTTTTTTTTGCCTCCCTTTCCTGACATGTATCTTATTTCCTTTCTTAAATGCTACCTCCTGTGACCTGTCTTCCCCTGACAATTGTGATGTCTGTGAACGGTCGGGGAGGTTCAATTATACAAAAGTGTAAGTGACGAATAAAGGCCTGATTTGATTTGATTTTGAACTAATAATCTTAACTTTTCTGAATTTGATTGTAATGCAATAATGTGCACCTTTTTTGAAGCTGCTTTGAAACAATAATTATTATGAAAAAATAGTATACAAATAAACATTAAATTGAATTGAATTGTAAAAATACACTGTAAAATTTGTTACTTAAAAAAGTGAGTAAACCTATTATAACTCAGAACTAATCACTTTTTACAGTCTAAAACAATACTGTCTTCCAGTTTGTCAATCTTAAAACAGGCGTACCTGAACGGCCTTCTGAGATTGGATGTCCACAATGAGCAGTCGGTTCAGCAAAGGCTGTGTTGCGTAAATGAACTTGTCCTTCACGTTGACGGCAGACGTCCACAAGCATTTCTGCTCCATCTCTCCTTCCACAAGCGGACAAACCTCCTCCTACAGGAATGAAACAGAGAGTTATCTAACTTGACTGTACACACAAAAAAATAGTAAATGCATCTCAAAAGTGGCCAGAAAACGACACTTTCTTTTCTATGAAGTCATCTAAATTGATCATTTCGTTAATGGTTTCTCAGCGTTATTGCCCTATACAGCTGCATTGACACCCTCTGCCAATGCCTTGATGAAATGAACTGTTGGATGTGCCAAAACTTTCTTCAGTTAAAAAAGGGAAAACTGAAGTTATTGCATTTGGGAACAGAGTTGAAGTTCTCAAGGTGAATGCCTACATTGGCTCTAAAGGTCAAACAACAAAAAATAAGGTCAAGAATCTTGATGTTATTCTGGAGTCAGATCTGAGTTTCAATAGTCATGTCAAAGCAGTAACTAAATCAGCATCCTATCATCTTAAAAACATTGCAAGAATGAGGGTGCTTTCACACCTGTGAATCGATTTAGTTGTTCTGAAACAGGGATTCAAATTGTTACATTGTTGCTCTTTGTTCTTGGTGTGGTTTGCTTTCACACTGCAGAGTTTCTAAACGGCCGAAAATAGCTAAAACAAGTCACGTGCGAGTAAACTCTCCTCACATTGGTCAGTTTCACGGCTTATTTGCAGAGCCCTGCTCAGCTGTCAGATGGGTGGTGGTTTGGTGGTGTTTGACAGGGTGTGCGCGACGTGTCTGAAGAGCAAGGAGGGATGCGGTGGGGAGGGTTGAGAAGGGTAACGTATTTGAGGACCGGGAGGGAGACACGAGATTTCCGGGAGATTATCACTCGTTTGCGGGCATCCGGGAGTCTCTGTGCATTTGCGGGTAACTCCCGGAACTTTCCACAATACTCATAATTCTCTCTTCATATAGCCGTATGCCTATTACATATCCATAAAACACTGTGATATAACCAGGCTCGGATCGTATCGCTTTCTCACTACAATCGATCCACTCCAGAGTTCGTTTTAATCGAGACGAGACCACCTCATTCAGGCGATCTCACACCAATTGTTTTGGCTCGGATCCGAGCGCGATTGCTGTATTCACATATGCCAAACGAACCACGCAAACTGGGAAAACGAGACAGGTTCCGAAACAAAAGTCTAGGTATGAAAGGAACCCTTATATGCTTTTTTTCCAGTGAGGACAGCAGGATTTCTGTAATGGCCTTCTTACAGGCCTTCCCAAAAAGACAGTCAGACAGTTGCAGCTGATCCAGTACGCTGCGGCCAGGATTCTGATCAGAACCGGGAACTCAGAGCACATCACACCTGTCCTCAGGTCTTTACACTGGGTCCCAGTTGCATTCGGTATAGATTTTAAAGTATTATTACTTGTCTATAAGTCACTAAATGGCCTAGGAGCTCAATACATTACAGATATGCTCATTGAATACAAACTTAACAGTTCACTGAGATCATTAGGATCAAATAATGAGAAATTCCCCTGCTTCTGGAATAAGTATCCAGAATTGATCAGATGTGCTCCAACATTAAGTGCATTCAAATCAAGACTCAAAACACTTCTGTTTAGCAAATATTCTGACCATTAAAATGCTCTCTAGTATCTGACAAGCCCCGCCCCCATCAATACACTTCTCATTTGCTTTTTTATTTGATGCGCTTCAGCTCCACCACGTTTACTGACCGAGCTTTGATAAAAAACAAAACGCTATTGGGTTTTTATTTAAAAGGGGAGGAGCTACACTACGTACCACCTTCTCTTCATTTTTCAGTTGAGATTATGTCACACATCATAAAAAAATGCACATTTCAAAGCACTTTATGAGACCTTTAATGATGCAATTGCATATACATTGCATTGTGTCATGATGTAAATGGACCACTGTATCAGTGTGAATCAGTATATTTTCTGTTATTTTACAATTTTCTCTCTTTATTATTTATCATGCATTATTTCAAACTACTTAAATGTCAATAAAATGTCAATAAAATAGTTGAATTTTCAACATCAAAAGTCGACAGAGTAGAGATCAAGGAATGCAATACAAGACTGTAAATAAATGGAAAACACTTATATGTGTGTACAAAATATGGAAATTGTTAATTTTATTTTACCTTTTTAAAGTGCAGCATTCACAAAGCTACATAAATAAAAAAGAAAGCAGCATCTCTGGCAGAGGAAGAGACTGATAGTATGCAGAAGTGTGATGGCGAAGGTAAACTCTGTCAGACAGCGAGAGTCTGTCAGGCCTGAGGCTGGCGGATCTGTGGTTAAAGAGGTGAGAGATGTGTGATTGATGGCCACTGAGACTGTGAAGAAGCGGCGTCTCCTGTGGTGATGCTGTTGACTGGGCTACTCAAGGACTGTCGTCGACAATCAAGATGGAAATACAGACTGATGTGACTGGACGCATCTGCTCCAGCGACATTCTCAGAAACCCAAATAAAAAAATTTGTAACACTCTAAAGTAAGGGTCCATTAGTTGATGTTAGTGAATGTATTTAAAAACATGAACAAACAATTACTAATACATGTATTACTGTATTTATTCATCATCATTGATGTTAGTTTTTGTGAGTAAAATAGTATAATCATACATAAACAATAATAAATATAATACTTTTATTATTATATTTTTATCATTAAAATTAATAAAATATAATAATTATAATCACATTTGATAGAAACAGTCTGCAGAAATGCTTTGATTGACATTCTCCATTTGTATGTGTCATCAGAGGGGCGAAGCCTTGCCCATTATTGATAATCTCTTCCTCATTAGCATAGGACGTTAGTCTTGTTTTTGAATCTGCCACTATGCTGAGACAGAGGCATTTGTAGCTCCGCCCTCTTTTAAAAAGAGCACAATCTCACTTGAATTTAAAGTGACAGTAACCAAAAGTGGCACAATTAGTATCTAAGCCTGCAGCTCTCGTCAGATCACGCGATTTTAGCATGATTTCCTTGACGTAGTGTCGTTGGAAGTCGTATAATAGCAAATGGGCATCGTGACACAAAATTCAATCGTTTCTTTTCGTAAAATGTGGCATAGTTTTGACAATCGAAACCATGCCTGCGACGCTTCACGACACCATCGCAGAAAGTCTAGCATGTTGAATTTTTTTCTATGTTCTTCAAGATGAGTTCTGTCACTTGGGTGACACTGGACAATAGGAGCACATCATTTTGTGGTTATCTCACCGGGTGCTGACGTTAATCCATGGGTCAGGTAATCAAAAAAAAACAGGCTGTATATTTAATTATGGGTGGGTCTCGGGTAAATAAGGTTAATCATTGCTTATGCAAACTTTAACTACTTTTTCTAAAACAATAAAGTGTTTTAAGCAATTTTATTTGACAGACTGGCACAAATATGCAGACTTCTCCATTCTCACAACGAGTTTCTGAGTTTTCCTAGCCTTCCAACCGAGTTTGTTCTTCCGAGGTAATCTAGAAACACGTTCAGTGGTACTAATACATTGTAAAAGCCTGTCATGCTTATTCAAAATACTTAATTAAACTAATTTAATTAAAACTTACCAGCAATGGATGATTTTGTCAATAAAAATGAAAACAGCTTAATAGAAGTTTATCTGAAATATTTCACTTGAATTTTATTTAGGCTAAGTTATTATTTTATTTAACAAACCAGTTTGTGCTTTGACACTGAAGCAAACAGCGGACTGGTTTTGAAGCGCTTCACCTCAGATAATATTTGTTATTTTTCTTTATCTAGTACAGTGGTTCTCAAACTGTGGGGCTTCCTTCAAGTGGTCCGCGGAGGAATCAAATATGTCATATGTGCATGCTACATATACTTCAAAATTGACCAAAAAATATTTATTTGTGAATATGACATATAATAATACTCAATATTTGACATATAGCCTTTATTAATGAGGTTCGGGCAACATTTTTCAGGAGTTGAATTGGCTATTATATGTTACTTTACATTTAAGTACAGCACTTTTCTTTTCACCTTAAGCATATTTTAATTTAAATGTTGACGTTTTTAGTTTGTTTGTTATTTTATTTTTATTTTTTTTACATATAAGCAAAGAATAGTGTTAACGTTGAGACTATTTATGTTTAAAGTGGCTGACAATAATAAATATTCTTAATAATAGGAATTAATCTGCCACGTTTTTGAACTGTGCAGAACTGTAGCTGCTTTACTGGGCTTCTACTACGCTACTGTATTTCAATACTGCTCAATATGGTGGTACTTGGAGAGAAAATTTTTTTCAGGGGTGGTACTTAGTGAAAAAGTTTGAGAACCACTGATCTAGTAGATAACTGACCAACAAAAATCATTGAAATTAGATACAATTTCTACCCAAACGAAATAAGTTTCAAAAAGAATTTTTTTCCCCAGAAAAATATTATATTCTTTTTTAGTTTGTGCCCATCCACTATTCAGCTGTTCAGGTGGATGATTTGTTTTGCTTCGTGAAAAATAAAAACTTAATTATTGCTCCACTGTAATTGTTGAATCACAAACCTCTGTCATATATTTGCAATTTTTTAAAATATTTCAATATTTTGTCTTGAGCATCAGATTTTTTCTTAGAAAATATCTTACTATTAAAAAGGAAATATATGTTTGATCCTATCAATGTCATACCAAATGCCCTTAAATAATGTAGCGTAGTTGTCAGCAAGCATGAGTGTTCATTGAGATTGACATAAGATAAAAAACATTGAAATTAATAAGATAAGAAATATTGTTATAGCAACACTTGTGCCTGCTTTGGGATATAACACTTATTGTAAACGTCACAAGATGACTGATGGTGAAGGAGCGGTAGTCTGACACATTTGTTACCCATGATGAGTCAAGATTTGATCAAGACAAAATCGCATAATCTGACTTGGTGACTTTCATAACTGACAATAAAAACTGTGTGATCTGACCGGGGCTTAAGTTTTAGTTTCAAAAAGTTATAAAACAGGCAGTTTCAAAGAGAAATAAAACTTTATTTGTGTTGGAATTTTGAGCTAAAAACTTCACACACTCAAGGGACAACAGAGACTTATTTTACATCTTGTAAAAAGGGGCATAGTGGTTCCCTTTTAACATTGACCATTTACTCAGCAGCCCATAACTGTAACCATAATTCGTAAACACGTAAAGGATCAATATGTATTTAAAAACAAGGGAAGTACATGTGACAGTGATTTCCTATGAGCAGAACTTTGGAAAAACATATCGTAATGCTCTCTAAATGTTCTTCCCTAGACAGGGTTTGCACTGGGGCTTGGCGTTATGGCCTGGCATTTGATTGATGTCCTAATAGAGGCCTGCTGGCTCTCTGGAGGCCGGAGACTGAAGCTCTCACCGCCCTGAGCTCCAAACAAACACAGCTGTCTCATCAGCATACCAGCTCCAGTGTAGCAGCAGAACAGAGCAAAGCAATCATTTAATAGCGCAAACGGGTCTAGCAGCTGTCTATCAGAAACAGTTGAGAAATGATATGCAGAGTTTAGAGGAGTAAGAGATGTAAAGTGATGGAGAGAGGAGCTCAGTGCCGAGATTCAAACTCCATGGGGTTAAATTGCTGTTAATGTCAAGAGAAGAAAAGCTGTGCTGCTGTTCGTTCAGATAGGGAGCAGATGGAAACATGGATGGATGGAAGAAAGAAAGGAAGAAAGAAAGAAAGAAAGAAAGAAAGAAAGAAAGAAAGAAAGAAAGAAAGAAAGAAAGAAAGAAAGAAAGAAAGAAAGAAAGAAAGAAAGAAAGATGTAAAAATGTAGATTGATAGAGGGAAAGAATTAACAATAGCAAGAAGGATGAATCGATGGGTGAATAAAATAAATCATGAATGTAAAATGTAAAAAAGAAAAAAAAAGAAAAGGAGAAAACAGAGGAAGGGAATAAAAGAGGGATGCATGGGTGTATGGAAAGCAAAAAAAGCAAGAAAAGATGGATGGATGGATAGAAGAAAGGAATGAGAGCAAAAAAGATGTAGGGATGTATGTGTAAATAAAATAAATGTTGGACAGATGCAAAGAAATAAGGTAACAAAGAAAGAAAGAAAATGGAGGGATGAATGGGTGAATGAGAAAGATAGATGGGTAAATCAAATATTTGATGGATGAAAAGATGAGAAGAATAAATTGTAAGACAGAAAGTGGAAAAATGGAAGGATAAATTGAAGAGTGGGTGCATAGAAAGAAAAAAGCAAAAGAATGGATGGATGGATGGATAAATGGATAAAACATGTGCAGGATAAGTTGGTGATTCATTCTGCTGTGGCAACTTCTGATTAATAAAGGGACTAAGCCAAAAAGAAAATGAATGAAAGAATGAATGAATGAATGGATTACTAACTAGGAAGAAGACAAATTAAGGAGAAATGAAGTAAAATGGAGGGAGAGATTGATTAATGTATGGATATATGGGCGTATGGAAAGCAAGATAAAAAGCTAAAAAGAAAAGAAAAGATGTGTGTGTGTGTATATATATGACTGAATGAACAGAAAGAAAGAAAGATTGAAAAGATGGATGAAATATGGAGGCATGGGTGGATAGATGAAAAAGAAAGAAAGAAAGAAAGAAAGATAGAAAGAAAGATAGAAAAATATAAAATGAAAAGAAAGAAACAAACAAAGAAAGAAAGAACAAAAGAAAGAAAAAGATAAAAGGAAAAGAAAGAAAGAAAGAAAGAAAGAAAGAAAGAAAGAAAGAAAGAAAGAAAGAAAGAAAAAGATAAAAGGATAAGAAAGAAAGAAAGAAAGAAAGACAGAAAGAAAGAAAGAACATAAGAAAGAAAAAGATAAAAGGATAAGAAAGAAAGAAAGAAAGAAAGAAAGAAAGAAAGAAAGAAAGAAAGAAAAAAAGAAAGAAAGAGAAAGAAAGAAAGAAAGAAAGAAAGAGAAAGAAAAAGAAAGAAAGAAAGAAAGTACCTAGCTTTCACCTTTTTCTTGTAAAGCGAATGTGCAGAGATGCTGATAAATAAATCACGTTCATAAAATCTGCATTCTGCTTAGGGTTAAATCATGCAGGAGGGAAAACAGAGGGTTTATGTTGAACATTTACAAGTGCTGGAAAATGTCTTTTATACGACAGCTTACCTGCAGGCCAAGAAGCTTCTCGCTGGGCTTGATGTGCCTCTGAATCTCACAGGCCACTGGCTGGATAACTTTAATACCATCCTCATAAAACACATAGAACATGTTTCCAATCCCCAGACCTTTAGAATGACAAATATAAGAATGTTCACGGCTCAGATCTACAGAAAATAAGGTTAACTTCAGCATTAACACATAAATATTGTATCGAAACACCATGCTTACCTTCCTCCCTCCACAGGATGTTTGCCACTGTAAGAAAAAACAAAGAAAACACATGTGAGAGAGGTTTTTTTTATTTGAAAATGTATACATCCATCACTTTTACTAGTGTTGTATTACTTGAGACTGGTCTTTAGACAATTTTTGAAGGTCTTGTCTTGTTACTTCATCTAGTTTTAGACTAAGATGTTATTTTAATACATATTTAGACCACAACTGCTGGAATGTTAATACATCTCCGATGCACTTCCATGTTTATTATATATCATCATTACAGTGATTGGATTAAATTATTCCTGGTTTAATATACAATCAAGAATTAAGGTCTCAGCATAGAATGGCTTGACTTCACTTTGTCTCAAACCTTCAAAATCTTGGACTTGACAAACCCTGGTCTCTCAAATGTACACTCATGTCTCCAATGTATTAATCTTGTCTTGGTCTCAACACACTCTGTTCTTGGTCTTTGTCTTGTCTAAAAATATTAATCTTAACTTGGTCTCAACTCTTCAGGTCTTGGTCTTGTTTTGGTCTTGGCACATCGTCTTGAAATACTTCCGTTTTGGTTTTAACACTTTAAAGTCTTATTTTTGTTTTGATTTTAGCATACCTATGTCTTGGTCTGAACCCTTCAAATTATTGTTCTTTTCTTGGTCTTCAACTGGTCAGAGTCATGATTGTCTGTTAGTCTTGATACACTCTGTCTTGACTTAACTTGCTAAATTCTTGGTCTCAACACAATGGTCTTGGTCTTGGTCTTTTTTATTTTAATCAATCCTGGTTTTGTCTTAGTCTCAACTACACAAATAACCCTCGGTCTTAACCTTTAAGAAGAACCCTTTAAGTCTTTGCTTTGTCTACATATCAACCCTCCAAAAAGTCTTCATGTCAACCTATTCTGGTCTTGGTCTTGCAACACTGGTGTAAGTAGTCATGGTTTGGTCTGAACCCTTCAGTGTCTTCAAAGTCTTGTCTTGTGTTGACAAAAACTGGTTTTGGTCTTTATTTTACTTTATTTAATCTCTAATGTATTGGTCTTTTCTTGTTCTCAAGACACAGAGCTCTTTGTCTTGTCTTGGTATCAATGAATTGGTCTCAACTCTTTACAATCTTGGTCTTGTTTTGGTCTCAATCTCTCAAAGTCTTGGGCTAGGCACACTTCAATCTTGGTTTTTTCTTAGTTTCAAGTATTGGTCTAAATTTGATCTCAACCCTTCACAATATTGGTCTTGTTTTGGTCTCAATACCTCAAAGTCTTGGACTTGGCACACTTCAGTCTGGGCTTCATCTTGGATTCAGGTATCGGTCTAAACTTGATCTCAACCCTTCACAATCTTGGTCTTGTTTTGGTCTCAGTCCCTCAAAGTCTTGAGCTCAGCACACTTCCATCTAGGTTTCTTCTTAGATTAAAGTATTGGTCTAAACTTGATCTCAACCCTTCACAATATTGATCTTGTTTTGGTCTCAATCCCTCAAAGTCTTGGACTTGGCACAATTCAGTCTGGGCTTCATCTTGGATTCAAGTATCGGTCTAAACTTGATCTCAACCCCTCACAATCTTGGTTTTGTTTTGGTCTCAATCCCTCAAAGTCTTGGACTCGGCACACTTCAGTCTGGGCTTCATCTTGGATTCAGGTATCACTCTAAACTTGAACCCTACACAATTTTGGTCTTGTTTTGGTCTAAGCCTCTCAGAATCTTGGTTGTGTGTTGGTCTCCACACACTGTTCCATGTCTTGCCTTGGTCGCAACCTGCCAAAGTCTTGGTCTTGACACAGACAGGTCTTTATCTTAATCTGCTTATGTTTTGGTCTTTTGTTGGTCTTAATCATTTCTGGTCTTGTCTTGATCTGAACCAACCTCTATGAGTTGTGGTTGTGTGTTGGTCTTGACACACTATGGTTACATTTTAACAAGATCTCAACCTGCTGCAGTCTTGGTCACGACATAGTCTGGTCTTTACAAAGTCTTGATCTTTTATTGATCTTAAATAATTCTGGCCTTATCTTGGTCTCAATCACATCTTGTGTTGGTCATGAAACACTTTGGTCTTTGCCATGACTTGGTCTGAACCCTGCAAAGTTTTTGTCTCAACTAGGATGTTATTTTATTTTGGTCAACACCCCTTAAAATCTTGCTTTTGACACACTCTTGACCTCAACTCAACAAATTCTTGGCCTTGATTTGATCTCAGCCAAGTCTGCTCTTGTATTGGTCTCTACTTCCTAAAGTCTTTGTGTTTTTTCAGTCTCTAAACACTCTAGTCTTGGTCTTGATTTTAGTGGTCTTTATTATGTTGGCTTGAGAAAGCTGACATACTGTTATACTACTCTGTCCTTGAAAACAAACGTATCTCCTCCTAGGCTGTTCATGCCACAAGGCCCAAATGTGGTCAAAATGTGCCTTCTGCATTCAAGATTGTTGCTATATCTCCTCATGCCGTTAAGACTTATCATTTTTTAAAAAAAATGTTAAATATTAAATTTTTATAATCCGGGCATATAAAAAAATTATACAAGCCCCAAATTTGTCCAAAAGCTGTATTAAGATGCGGTAGATTTTGTTGCTATATCTTGAAGATTTAATCGACTTATAGTTTTCTAATAAATAATTTTTAAGCATTATTTTTCTCAAAATATGGCAAGCCACATTTGACTTAAACTCCATATTTTTTACTGATATGGCAAGCCATTTTTGCATGTATCACCTTCACACTTATTAAGCATTGTACTTTCAAAAAAAATACAGCAAGCCATTTTTACATAATGTTCATTCCCTTAGTCCCTTTATTAATCAGGGGTCGCCACAACAGAATGAATCGCCAACTTATCCAGCATTTATTTTACACAGCGAATGCCCTTCCAGCCGCAACCCAACACCAGGAATACATAATGTTCAAGTCCAGTTTTTGACACTGATAAAAACTGTCATAGAAACATCGGGGTTGATTTAGATCACTCATATTGCCAAGAAGCTTTGATGTATCATCACTAACCTGTCAAATGTCCCCATAGCAATAAAGCAGTATAACCTAGCAACCATTTAAAAATAGCAATATCTCTACATCAGAACATCATAGGGACCTGGGCATTGGCTTGTTTGACTCATGCTAGCAAATGGGACTTCCTGTGTACTATGCATGGTAACAATGATAATGGAAGCCAAGTGCTAATAACGATTAGCTACATGCTATGAATGATTATCTAAATGCAATAACATATGCTAGAAATGCCTACTAAGTATTAGCATTTGATCAAACATGTACACGAGCATTGCCATTTAGCAACTGCTTAGCAACCACCTAACAATGCCATAAATGTTTTACTTTCTCAAGCCAACAACAAATTTATCAATGAACTTTAGGTTCTAGTTACAACACTACTATCCACCAGAGACGCAAGATGAACTCGCACGTCAGGCTGTTACAACATCCCACTTTTATTGCAAAAACATTTGTAATTCACGGTTATGTTTTTCTAATGTTGTTTAAAGCCAGAGAGTTGTGTTTGATTTGGCCAAGTAATTATACTGTGCAACCTGAGGAGCTTATTGATTTGACTCGCTCATGTGTAATCAATACTGTGTCGACATTATACAATGAGGTCAGCCTGCGGGGATTTATACACTTACATATAGCCACCAACCGCAGCTTTCACACAGTGCATTAGGGTGAAAGTCAGAGCTTATCTTTGCATCAAGCATGATTATATACCTATAACCGCTGGAACCGTGACTGATATTACCTTTTAAAACACTTAAACTTTGGAAATTGAGATCAATGCCATACTAATAATGATCAAATACCTTTAAAATGGGTCTTGTGGCAATCAAGCAAGTGTTATTGAAGCATAACCAAAATATCACACACAATTAACTCCTGAATAATTCTAAAAGCTTTTTATTACAGAACAAATTGCCTAGTAACTACAATGAAACACCTCCATTAGGGAAAAAAAGAGATCGTTGATGGCTTCAGCATTTGTGCTAAAAATAACAGCGATGGCCATTACTGATAAATGACCGATGTGCAATTATTATGCTCATTCACTGCTTGTCAGCAAATATTTATTGATAAATATGGCTCATTAACACAGTACACACTTATTACTTTTTTTCCCCTTATTGCTTTCTGATTTTGAAGTGAAGATGTGACCTCCAACTGTACCTCAGCAATATGATTCAATCGCTCAACGTCTGTAAATCAATCTCCGACAATTCACCTGTGCTACAATCCTAAGGCAAGCGATTCTCATTCTGCTCTCTCACTTCATCAAGGAGACAGCAGTGGAATGGGAATCATGATAGAGCTAGAGTTAATCTTCGAAAACTCCTTAGTCAAGTTCTTTTTCTATGAGTTAATGCATTGGCAAAACCTAAAAGACCTTTGTGAAAAATATTGCTATTGCATCAGCAAGTGATGAAGAATGTGAAAAAAACTCAGAAACACGGAGCCTCGATACAGCATGAAATCAAAAAGGAGTGGTTTGAAGAAATGTGACTCATTTTTTTCCAATAACACAATGAGCCAACACAATTCATCATCAAACAGAGGGAATAAAGAACCACAGAAATAAGAGGTTTGAATCGACACATTAAATAAGTAGAAAAAGTCTCCTTTGGAAAATTATATTTCACACTAAAGATTCCAAATTCACTAAAACATTAGAATATATTTTGTGTTTACAGATTAAATTAATTAGTTGTGTTTTTAATTATTTAAATAATATTATGTTCTTCAAAAAATGACTGTTTTCATTTATTCATTTTCTTTTTGGCTTAGTCCCTTAATTATTCCGGGGTCGCCACAGAATCAACAGCCAACTTATCCAGCACATATTTTCACAGTGGATGCCCTTCCAGCAGCAACCAATCTCTGGGAAACATCCACACACACTCATTCACACTCATACACTATGAACAATTTAGCCTACCCAATTCACCTGTACCGCATGTCTTTGGACTGTGGGGGAAACCGGAGCACCCGGAGAAAACCCACGCGAACGCAGGGAGAACATGCAAACTCCACACAG